TATACACACACACACTGCAGAATCTCAAAACTTTATTTTATTTTATTTGTTAAACAATATTTATAAGATGCCTATTTAAGATGAGAACTTTTCTAGGCTTTGAAAAAATAGTAATGAACAAAAGACTTAAACTCTCTGTTCTCACATCAGCAGAATATACATACTATTTATTTTGTTCTTTGTACTCATTTATATGCCCAAATTTTTATATTCAATTGGATACACACACCTATACACACACATAATACATATAATTGGCATTATCTGTATATATAAATTTTTACAGTAGGCATTGTATGTGTGTATATATAATTTTATAACTAGCATTATATGCATTCATAAATTATTTATCATACTTAAAAAATGTCCTTTAAAAAATATCATCCAATCTAAAGTCTAAATTCTGTCAATATATTTTGCCACTTAAACTGATCCCTACTTTTAAACATTATTTTCCAGTATTCTCCAACAAGAATTGTACACATGGTACATAGGTGTTACGGACTAAATTGTGTCCCCCCTAATATTCATACGTTAAAGCCCTAACTCCCTATTTGACTCTATTTGGAGACAGGGCCTTAAAGGAGGTAATTAAAGTTAGATGCGGTCATAAAGGTTGAGGCCTAATGTAAGAGTACTAGCGTCTTTACAAGAGGAGAGACACAAAGAGGGCTTGCTCACAGAGAAGAGACCATGTGAAAATGTGGGGAGAAAACAGCCATCCTACAAGCCAAAGAAAGAGACTCTCAGATGAAAACAACTCTGCCAGCACCTTGATCTTGAACTTCTAGCTTCTAGAACGCTGAGAAAATTAATTTCCATTGTTTGAGCCATCTGGTTTGTGGTATTCATTTATGGCAGCCCAAGCAAACTAATATAATACAGGTTTGGTCATTGTACAGAGGTAGGTCATACAAATCATACCAATTCTTTTGCTTTTTCTCTTCTTCCTACTCAGAAAGGGCTTGTTCTTCATCCATTTATCTTAATTATATTGTCATCCAAAACTCTGTGAATTTTATGGGCTGACTATGTTTCCCAACAACTTCAGTCAAGACCAGTCTCATATTTCTGAAATTCCATCATGTAATCAATGGTACAATTAAACATTAAATTACTCTATATTATTTATTTTATTGCTGCCACTCTAAATGATAAATTAATATTTTAATGATAGTGATAATACCCCACATACTTCCAAAATCTAGATCCCAGTATATTAATGGTTACAGATACCAGAAATGAGGAAAAGAAAAAAAAAATTAAAGGGTAGATGGAAATAACTGGAAGCAGCATTAAGTTATGGCAAAAGTTTGGGTTCTTACTTTCAAAGACTCAAATACCCTTTTGATATATTTCATATCTTGATTTCCTGTCATCATTGCAGACATCTCATGGAGTATCATGCTCCTTTTGGTGGACTCCAGATTCCTTATCTATTCTGGCTCAGTAGTAAGCAACAATATATTTACTATTTTCCTGACCCATGGCTATTTCTATCCTATCATACTGAGAAAACTTTCTGGGAGATCAAAAAACATAATACCTTTTCTCAGTGTCTATAGTTTTAAGTCATCCATTAATATTGAATTAGGGTAAAAATCTGTAAAACATTTAAATTAAAAAGATGTGAAACATTTATCTCAAAGTATCATTTCCATAAAACCTGACAAAAGGCAAACTATATTTTTGAACATCATATACAGAATGTAACTTTAAAAGTTTTTAAATGATATATAGTTCTTTAACTTACCCAAACAAATTGGGATTGGGTAATTCCATCTTCTTACAGGTCCAGGCATACATGTGATGTGAGAATGACCCTATATAAACAAGACGATGTGGTTCAGTACACATTTTAAAAAAGTTAAACATAGCATAGTGAACGTTTATTATGGAAACGACTTAAATATATATTGTCATTTTACATTTTTTTAACTTTTACTAAAAATTTTAGTATTATTTGGAATAAGAAAGGTAATTATATGTACTTGTGATAAAATGTAAAATATAGCAAGGTTCTGGTAGAAAAATTAAGACTCCATATCACATTAGAATTATGGTTTTAAAATTTTTCTATCAAAACATATTCTATTAAGATAGTGCAACAGTGCAATGATTTCACAAGTGAAATGGCCATATACATAATGGTTTATAACAAATTACTGTAATATTCAAGGTGAGATAAGTTAAAGAATAATTATAAAATTCTTTCTTAAAAATATTAAAACAAGTCAATTAAGGTATATTAAATTTAAAATTTTAATATAGAATCCAGAAAGATCCAATTATACTTCTGAGACTAATAATTTATAATATAACTGTAGATACTATAAATTATTCATTTTTAATTTTGCTTCTTCTAAGAAATTTATTTACTTAACATATGAAATAGTTTGTACCTCAATTTTTTTTCTTAATTTCTTAACAAGTATATCTTCTAGAAAAATTTTTACAAGACCATAATTTTGAGACCCTCCAAAAAAACTAATAGAGGATCAATATAAATACAAAAAAGTCAGAATATACATTGCAAATACATTTTTTAGCAAAATATATTTGTAGTTGACTCATTAATTTGGGAAGTTTATTATAATGGAAGTTTCATTTAATGCTTTAAGTAGCACTTCATTTTTATTTTCAATTCTAAAGATTCAGAAGATCAGTTGTCACATCCTATGTGAACAGAGAAAAACGTGAAGAATTAATTTTGATTCAAAAATCATTTTTGATTACTTGCAAACAAAACAAATTTAGTTCATTTTAGCAATTTCTCTCATGCATATGTTTTACTGACAAATTAAATATCTTTTGACAACAGGTTAAACTATGAAGCCCAAGATCAAAATTGTTTTACAAGTTGTGGTTTAAAATCATTGGTGTGTTAAAATATTCTGAAAGCACCATAAAATCGGTTTTAAAATAGATTTACCTGAAGAGAATAGCCTTGATCACACTGAAAAGATACCACATCACCAACCATGTATCTGTCTCCAATTTTAATTCCACTGCTAGGAGTTTGTGGCTCAGGGCAGGAATCCAAACCAATTGCTAAGAACATTTAGTAATAACGTAAGTAACTTTCAAATGGTAAGTGCTCAAATTATGCATATTAAATTACCAAAATTGAATATCTGGGTCATTAAAACTAGTTTTACACTGAGGCATTAAGAATGGTCTGTGAACAAGATTTAACTGTACATGTTAAGAGCAATATGCTTTGGAACTTCCACATAAAACTATTTCTTTGAATTTTCATGGAACTAACCATTAAATAGCTGAGTAATTATACTTAAATTCTTTTTTAACTCCGAGCCTAAATGTCTTCTATTATAAAACAAAAATAAAAATTCTTAATAAAACCCTAAATAAAAATAATTTTAAAAGTCATGGTAAGAATAAAATGAATTATATTTGTAAAACATTCTTAGTAAAATGACTAAAAGAATAGTTATTTCATCGATATCACCTGGTTCCTTCCTTCTTCCTACAGAATGGAATACTTAACTTATGAGATATATTTCAATGTATTTACTACATGTAAAATTTAAAAAATGTAATTATAAGTAAGATTTGATCTCCAAATATACTATAATCAAAAAAGGAGAAAAACATGTATCTTACTGAGACCTGGAAAGTATTATGTAACACTTGAAATGGGATATGTCTGAGAGGGAGATAATGATATATTCAAAACACTTCCGTTATTTTTATATTAAGAATTTATTTTTCAACATAAAAGAACAGAAGCATACAAAATTAGTTTTGTTTGTTTTGGCCAAACATTTTTTTTAAATGTAAATTTATTACATTATTAAAAACTTGTTATCTTCAATAAAGCCAATGTTTATTTTTAAATTTTAATTCACATTTTAAAGCTAATCTAATGCATATTTCACTCAATGAAAGATAGTCACCACTCCAAAATAATTATATGTTCATTTCATAGAAAACATTAAAATAAATCCTAAAGTATGACAATGCCTCATATATTCTTTCGTTCCTTCACCATGTTATTTCTCTCTGATAGATACTCTCATAGCATCAACCTCTATCTACATTTCCTTTGTGACACTTAACATAAAGTAATAATTAATAAATAATCATGTAATTAGTTATTCGATATTTGTCTCCTCTTTGAGAATGGAAGCACCATCAGAGCAGCTCAGAGCACATCTTAAGGAAGCACTCAATAAAGATTGGTTTTATGGATGAAAAAAAGTATAAAAAAGAAAGTGAATTCATATCTTAATTACTTCTTTAAATAATATAAATTTCTATCTCTGCAAATGGAAGATACTTTCTCTGATAATACAATAAATGGTCAGAGTAGCTAAAAATCATGCCAAATTAGGTGACATTTAAGGATATGAAAATAACAACAGCAGTTAACTTGATAGAGTTATGATTCGATCAGAAAGTAAAGCAGTGAAGAGAGCAAACTGGTCATTTAGAAATGCTTTGAGGCAATCATGAAAGAGATTAGGGAGTCTCTGGACTGGAACTTCAGTGCCCACTTAATTAGCTAGGTCTCTAAAAATATATCATGCGTCATATTTCTTGAGTGTGGGTTTTTTGGTTTTTTTTTTTGTAATCTTGAATTTATGGACCTAGGAAAGATAAGGTACCATTAAACTGTGACCTACTTTTAAAATTTTAAGGGTTAAATTCTCTCTTCCCCAACTATATCTTGAGATCCAAGAAGAGACAGAAATTGTCTTACATTTGTTTTAATCTCATTTAACCATTATTGCTCCTTACACATTACATTCTTCTGATTTCACAGAACTCTTTTCAGGAATTACTGAATACAAAAAAAAAAAAAGTGAGCTATGTTATAAACATATATGTCTTGTCACTATGACTTCAGATCTCTTTGGTACAATCTGAGTTTCTTGGGAGTACTAAGCAGCGCATTCATTTTTCATCGCCATTAAGGTCATTCTCGCAGTCATTCTCACTGAGAAGGCCAAATTTTGTACACATTCATTTCTCTTTTATTTCTACCAATTTTTCCATTCATGGTCATATACACAGAAAACTATTAATAACCAGAAGTGACCATTTCCTCCTCTGGGAGGATAAATAAAACTATGGTTTAGTGATGCCAAGATACTGAGAGTCTAATTTTTAAGCAACGTTGTTACATAATGTATGAGGTCATACTAAAATATTTATGAAAGTTTTAACTTAAAAATGTGATACAAAACTCTCATAAATTACATAATAGCAATTTTGTAAGTCTAAAATTCATATATATATATATATAATCACAGAGAAAAATGAGCAAAAAGGAATATGCTAAATATTAACTAGTTATTCTTGATTATGAAATTTTTGGTGATTTGTGTATCTTTTCTTATTTTTTCTGCATTTCCAAAATTTTTATGATAAACATGAATTTTTGTAAATAATAAAATCACAACTATTGGGTGACTTAGTACTAGCAGAGAATTTAAGAGTATAAGAACATATCCTCTTCTATTTTTCTAGGAGAAATTGAGTTGGACCAGCTAATCTGTTAAATATGAATATTTCAGGGAAGAAAGTAAGGTGATAAGGTAATCAAATAAGTGAGAGAAGTAACATGTTAACGGCCTCCCTCATTTTTTCTGCAGCCGATTATCTTATGTGCACTAAAGAAAATAAAACAGAAACATTTTAAAATCTTGCAGTTCCTACTTTACAGTCACTTTTTTTACACAAGTAAACCTGAATGACTTAATAGTAATTTTTAAATGTCTTTTTAAGAATTATTTTTCACTTCTTTGTAAGTGACAAAACCAATAGGATATGTGTAGGAATCAACAAGGAAAAATAATTTTTGTGAAAATGTTGCAAAGGATTTTCTCCTGTTTAATTTAACCAAGGCAATCAAAATATTGGGTCATTTTCTGCTTCCTGAGTGTAAATTGTGTAAAATTATGTCCTAAGCAATCAAAGATGCTCTCTGGGTGAATTTTTTTTTTAATGGGAATTGGATCAATTAATCTGCTGTTGTAGCCAAAAATGAACAGAAATAAATCCAAGGACAAATCCATATCAAAAACTACAGAGTATGTCTGCTGCCAAATTACTGTAGGTGGTTACCCTGGCTGAAAACATTAAAACCTCAGTTCATACTTGTAACATTTATTTATAACCAAATATTATTTCCAATTCTGTTCACAAATCATTCAATCTGGAGTATAAAATGTTGTTAATCATATCATTTATATCGATCAATTCTAATTATGTAATTATATACATGTTACTTCCTAGTATTTCACAATGATTTTAAGGAGTCTTAATGCACTGAGAGAGGAACACAGGTTGGAGAAGAAAGCTTAATTACTGCTAAGACTTCCAGTAACATTGTTTCAAATGAAGGAGTTTTCTTCATGAATTTTACATGACAACCCATGTGTAAATTTATAGAAAATGAAGACCTAAAGGACCAGAAATATTAGATTTGCATCCATGTGAAAAAGGAACTGTTAATTGAATCATATGCCTTTTCACTAAAGGTTGTATTTAGTGTGAGTGAAGATCTTGTTATTTTAAATATATTACATGTCTTTAATTTAAATTTTTCTCTAAATAATAGAAACAAAAGAACTATTATTTCTATGTTAATGCTATATTTGAGGATTTTTTAATATACTAAAGTTATAATTTGTCATTCTACATTTATCATAATAACAGTTTGAGAATCATGTAGAAGTTGATAATCAAAATGTGAATTCAATATGAGTTGGTCTACTAGTCTGAGAACTTAAAGAAAACAGCAAAAGTAAGAATGTAGACTTTTTTTCTGATAAACATACCTTGGAACTAATTAATCAATCTACTAAACAAATATATGTGAAATACCTATTATGTAATATGTAACCTGAATGAATACATGTGGATAAGTTTTTTTAGATGGAATAATTCTAACATTTAATGATCACTGATGGGCAGCAGCAGTGGTTTAGGAACAAGTTATAGTATAGGCTTCATTCATATTTACCTTGATCCTTAAATTTTTCTGACTTTACCTATGTTTACCTTAATTAACATTTAATTTAACATTACTGGGACTAATTGAATATTCAATAATAGATACTACTTATGAAATTGTAGCCTGCAGAATGTTAAATTAAATGATAAAATGTTAAATGAAATGTGACACGTAGATACCATTAGCTCATTAAATAAGCAATTACCGAGCACCTATTGTATACTCTGTATCATGTTAGATAATGGAAATGCTAACATCGATTAGCAGTGTGAACAACCATTCTCTAAAGAACCCTTTTTTGAGCAAGAGAGGGGGTTAGTTTAACAGATGGTTACAGTATAGTAGAACACTCACAATAAATTAAGGCTATCCTTTGTTTAAATAATCATTTCATAGGGAATAACCTATGTGAGTACTAACAAATGATATATTTTACCAATTTATGATAATAAAGGGTAAGTGGGTGTGATGTCCTGGCAGACAAAATGTCATGATAAATGAATAAAGTTTTAAGTAAATTTTTCCTTCTTTTACAGAAAAGAGGAAGAGTGTTTTTCCTGAAAACACAATGTAGTATTTTAGGAAAGACAGCAAAAAATGAAGCTGAAAACATGGGCAGGATATAAGTTTTGAACAGTCTTATTAATCTGAGCTAATGCAGGGAGTTATAATTTTTCTTCTGCGGGTACTAGCAAGAAAATTCAGAGTTATTAAGGACATAACCTCTGTGTGCATCCTGGCTGATCTAGTTTCTTACTTTATTTTGTAAAGTGTAAGATGATTTCTACGACTCAGTTCCCTCACTTATAAATGAGGTGCGAAATACCAACTTTGTGAGGATATTGTGATGCTTAAAGAACAATACATGTATAATATTTAGAATAGTGCCAGGAACAGAGTAGGTTCTTAACAAATGTTAATTAACATAATATTTTAAACATGAAAGTGAGGTTGTCATTTTGCACTCTAAATAAAGGGTATTTTTTTCTGTTGTCATGAGAGTATGTTCCTGTATGTTTAATATTAATAGGTTTCACATAAACACTCTAGGAATATTTTAAAAAAATAA